TCTGCAATCCTGTTGTAGAGTCAGGGGAAACTTTTCATATATAACATCAGGAATTCTTGAGTTGTTTTGTTATAAAGTAATGCACCATATGCTGCGGTCTGCTGAGATTAGGTTTGAAGGTTGGAAATATTTCTGGATGCTGTGCAGAGATGACCTCCTATGGATGATGGGGATAGAGCTGCTGTACTTAACAGTCTGGGTAAAACCTGGAGCTTTGTCTCATTTACATGGCGGAAAAAAGCACTAAATTATAAAGGTAATTGAGTAAGTGAGCTTGATGGTACAATGACTGGAGTCAAAGATAAAATGTTTGGGAAAGCAAATAAAGATTGTATATCAGAAAGAGAAACAGTTGACTTAGTACCATTAGTGGGATTCTATTTCCCCTTTAGGGAGTTTTGGAGGAAGTAATATTATCTTACGAAGTGTTCTGAGACGTTATATGTTATTATGGGGCAAAAGTTTGACCTCATACTGCTGTAACTTGGGGAAAAAATCACAGAGTCCTGACTCTATTTCTTCACTAATCATAAAAATACAATCCCTACCAGGGATGGAACTTGCATGTTAATGGAAAAAAGAGGCAAAAGAAGAGTAATGCTATTAAATAAGTTTTGTTTTCTTTCCACAGCATAAGTGCAGTACTTCCAGTGATCATCTGTGTTACTTCCTTTTTAAAACCGTAGTTTATGGCAAAAGGCATCATTGCAGTGTCTGAACTTTTTGTACCTTTTTCGCAGGCGGGTGCAGATGCAGTCCTGGGCAGGACAATCTGGGGAGTCCTAGGTTTGGGTGCCTTCGGATTTCAGCTGAAGGAGGCTCCAGCTGGGAAACATATTATCACCACCACACGGTCACACAGCAGCAAGCTGGTCAATGATTGCATTAGTGCCATGAACCCTGATCATGTGGTGAGAGTTGGCGGTGCAGGAAATAAGGTGTGGATATAATTTTGTTTCAATTTTTAGAAAGATAATTTTTTTTAAAAAAAGATTAGGACCACGATTGCTCTTCGTGAGCTGTACCGCAGAACATCCTTTCCATGAGAATGAGTACATGGATTAAGCCATCAGTTGTAGTGGTAGCAATTTCTTCATGCTGCTGGCAGTGCTGCTGCTTCCCGCGACAGGGATGGGCAAGGTGAGGTTAAGGGATCTCCAGTTGCCACTGGCAGGCTTGCAGGTCTGCCACCAACCTAGAGCTCACCTGACCTTGTTGCCACTTGACTTCATCTCTCTCCTGGCAAGCGCAGTGCCACCACTGTCAGTAGGGTGCTACTGTTGCTTCCCTTTCACTGCTAAACTGAACCTCTTTTCGCATTGTAGGGTGGGATATGCAAGTGTTAGGAAGAAATGTGAATTGTTTTAGCTTCTGATGGGACTTTGAGACATAGTAATCATTGATAGGATGGAGATAATTTAGGAAGTGGCTTTCAAAATGATCTGCCTCCTTCTAGTGCTTTTAGGGGGTTTGCACATTAAAAAAACGAAAACATCTTATGAATAAGTTATAGGTTTGTTGTTTTCAGGCAATGGAGTTTGGGCTTTCTTGGGCAAATGAAGCAACTTCAACCGACCCGTCAACAATTCCCTGTGGAGGAGGATCATTTCTCCTGAATTTCAGATAAATTGTTCGCTATGTAAAAATGACCATTGAAATATTGGGATAGTTTCACTGAATCAAAAATGTATAGAACTCTGCCTCCACATAAGCTGGTTGCTACAGATGCATAGTGTACATAGTTAATCACCACCAACTGAAAACTGTGCTGCCCTACTCACTGTAAAGATGTTCAGGGTGTTGTGAGGAAGCATTTTTCCACATGCAGAATGTCTTCCCTTAACTATAGTAACTGTTCTGTGCGAACCAGGAATGATGTTTAACAGCTTTGGAAGAAGTCGTGATTTTGAAATGATTTCAAACTTTGGTTTAACGTGTTGCCTTATTTCAAAAGTGTTAGTAGTAACTATAAATAGATACTCACTTTGAATGAAATAAGAAGCTACATTTAATGGAAGACGACTTTGGTTGGTTGACCCCAAGGGAGGAGTGAAGGGATTGTGTTAATGGGCCAAAGCCTTGGTCTTTCTTGCCTTATTAAGTTGAAATTTGATCATCCAAACTCATACCAGGGAGAGTTTGCCTGTAAATGCAATTGCCTACATGGTGACTGTAACTCTTTGTTCATGACAGATCATTCAACTTGTGGAAGGCAAGGCATCTGCTTATGTATTTGCCAGCCCTGGTTGCAAGAAGTGGGACACATGTGCACCAGAAGCTATTTTGCATGCAGTAGGAGGTGAGTCAATAGATACACTGGAATAAATGAAACAAAAAGGTTTTCAGATGCTGCTCTACATTTTGTAATATTGTCTATGTCTGATAACACAGTATGTGTGTCTGTGTACACACATATATATTAGACAATAACCTAAAACTGCCTTTCTATTTTGGGTTGTTTTACCATGCAATTTTTATATGAGGTAGTATTAAAGTTATGAATTCATTTACACTCACATTTGTTGGCATATCTTCTCAAGTGCAAATAAATAAGCAAGCAAGGATACAAAACCACTTGAACTCACTATTGCAGTCATTCCAATTCTTTCAATGGTTAGTTGAAACATTTGATGAAACCAGTTGCACGCACAGGAAGACCTATGTGCTAAATTATTTTCTGTGGCTACTGAGTTTCCTTGACATAGCAACTATATTGCTGAGTTATAGGCCAGTTATATTTTGTGGTTAGGTTTTTTCTGGGTTTTTGTTACTGGTATACTCATGCATATGAATATTTCAATGTTTTTCAGTATCCATAATATTTGGAGTGTATGCTTGTGAGCTACTTTGTCGAGATTTCTCTTAAAGAGTTGATTATAAATCAATTAAATAAATGAATTATTCATTATGCTAAAATGGGGATTATGTAATGGCAGGGAAATAAATTTAGATAACCAAGGTATGGAAAAGGAGAGTTCAGTTCCTTTACCAAATAACCTTGGAAGAACCATACCTCAGTGGTAGTAGATCTGCTTTGTATGCAGAACATCCAAAGTTAAATCCCTGGCACTTCCAGGTATGGCTGGGAGAGACTTCTGTCTAAAACCATGGAGAGCTGCTTCCAGTCAGAGTAGACAATACTGAGTTAGATTGACTAATGGTCTGAACTGGTATAAGGCAACTTACTGTGTTTCTACAATCCCCTTCCTTTGTAGAAATAGAGCTGCTGTGTTTAAAGGCTAACCTCTTCTTTTTCTTTCAGGCAAGCTCACTGATATTCATGGGAATTTCTTTTGTTATAACAAAGACATCAAGCATATGAATTCGGGAGGTGTCCTTGCTGCTTTGAAAAACCATGACTATTATGCCAGTCGAGTTCCTGAGACGGTTAAACAAGCTCTTGTGCCTTAAAATACAAAGCATGGTGCATTCCACTTGATTCAGAAGGAGCTTCTTATTATTCTTAGCTGGAATTGGTAATGGCTTATGGAATTGGATCAAAGTTTCATTCTGCCACAGTGTTTAGTAATTTCCTCTCCCTGCCACTCACAGAATAGAACAGGCATTAAATTTGGTTTTCATTTGGAACAGTAGGTTACTTCAGTTAGCATAGTTCTAAAATGTTATATTGCCCTATGTTTATTGTTATTAATCTATACACATTCCTGTTGAATAATCAAATCTTTACACAATCACATTTCCTTGATAACTTGAGAGCAAAAACTATAAGTACCATTATATTTAATGGTGCAAAATAAATCACCTCTGTTTATAAACCCTGTTCACACGTGAATCACTCAAGGGGGGCGGTCTCATGTGATGACTGGGGAGCAGGGCTACACTGCTTGCCTACTGTTTATGCTAGGCTTCTTGAGTTCAAACATCCATACAATGCTTGACCAGCAGTATGATGCCCCCTTTGTTCAATTCACGTATGAAGAGCTATAGACAAATGTATTTCAGCTTTTATACACTGAAAGCACAATGTGTCTTGAGTGGATTAAAATGACTGTGAAAATTAAATGATATTAAATGTGTCTTATGGTCTGTTTGGGATTAACACTGGACTCAGAAATGGGACATGATGCCCCTTTGATGCTCCCTCTTCTTCTCTCCCCATTCCTCATTGCACACACAGCTTGACTCTGATTTGGGAAATCAGTTTTTAATTATGTCTGAATCTGGAAACTGGTTTGTCTTCTTATTTTGCAGGAAGCCCTTATTCATCGTTTTCTGGTTTGCATATCATGGAATATAGGTTTAACAAACCAGGAAGTATTTTTATTTCATTAGAAGCAGCCTAGGGGAGATTGGGAAAAAATTTGGATCAAGACTGCAGTACAGGAAGAGAGGGAGTTTAATCCACCAAAATTTCCCTTCTCATGTAAAATAATTATTCCCTCTGTACAAAGGAGTCTGGATCACAACTGATGTGTTTAGCTTGTGTTACAGCTCCAGGCAGAATTCTCACTGCAACACCTCAAAAGTTGGAAATCACACCTTTTGTACAAATTACCCCAGATTTCCCACTTTCTAGTTTCAGTGTCATTGCTTAAATCATATGGAAGGTTCATAAGCAAGGTAAACCCCAGTTAAGTAGGCATAGAGGAAGAAGCCACTTAAATCCTAGTATTTTTAGTGTTCTAATTGTATTTTATTTAGCAGTATGATGACAGGTTCTTGTTCATTAGGGAAACGTTCAATAATCTAAAAGAGTGATGATGAGGAATGTCCACCTAGGCCTAGCCTAGGAGGTTAATGGGAAAGTGAGGAGTATCTGCTATGAACCCTTACTATTGGTTAGAATTGCAACCTAAAATATAATAATAGTCATAGCCCATCAGTGACAATGACGCAGCATTGCCCAAGCCCCATCTTCTTTACAGAAGACCATGGTTTGAAATGAAGGTCGCAGATTTTGCCCTTTCAGGCACCCGCTTTTGAAGAGGCTGCCAATATCCCAGCTGCCTCGGGGCTACTTGACAGCCCCCAAACCCGCCACGTGTGCCCTCGACAAGGATACTGTACAGGGCTGCGTGACAAGCAGCCATACGCGCTGCCAAACCCGCGCCTGCCACGTAACGTATGGAAAAGCAATCGCGTGAAGGAATCGCCTCTCGTTCTTTTCTGAGGGGAGGAGCCGCGGCTGACAAGGCGAGAAGGGATTTACGGTTTAGGAGAAACGCGCTTCGAGAGTTACGGGGTTGTGGGCGGGGAAGAGCCTCTCGGCCTCCTCCGGGGAGGAAGACGCGCAGGCGTCAGGCCTTGTGAGCAGCCGGGAGCCGAAGCAGGAGGCGGCGCTGCTGCCTCTACTCGAGAGGCGGGAGCAGAGCCGGGAAAGGGGAGGGCCGCGTCTTCAGCCTCGCTGCGAGTCGCCGCGCTCCTGCCCGGTCCTTTCTGCCTGCTGCTGCCGCCGCCGGAATGGCGCTGAGCTTGACGGTGAACCCCTCGGACGTCCCTCTCGGTAAGGGCTGCCCCTCTTTTCCTACACGGGATTTGGACGCGGGAGGAGGCCAGCGGGCAGCCCCTCCGGTGGCGCTGGTGGAGCGGGGCGTGTGGCTGCCATGTTGCGTCAGGCGGCGGTGGTGGCGGCGTCTCGCCCGTCCATTCATCCTCCCGCTCGCCCGCCTGGCAGCGGGGACGTTTCCAAAGCCAAGGGCAGAGCGAGACGCGCCTCGCCGCATTTCCACCCCATCTCTGGGCCGAGGGTCGAGGTGGGCGAAAGGGGACGGAGCAGGGGTGCTGGGCGAGGGGGGAGAGAGAAAGGGCTTGAGATGGTGGGAAGAGGCCGGCAAGGGCAGGCAGATGTGAAACTGGGAGCTCGAGAGCCAAATACCCAATCTGGAGTAACAACCATGCATGTGGAGACAGAACATACCCATAATCCACCTGCCAAAAGTGAATTTGTAGTTGCCAGCTGCATTATTTTAAGTGGGAGCCTCCCTTCCCTTCAATGTATGCATAAGCAGGCAAAGGGAGAAAGGGGGTGCGCTGGTGGGTGGGCCGAGCTCGACTGAAAGGGGCTGACACGTGGCGCCGAGCTGGACAGCTGGAGGATCTTCTATTCTGGAGTATATATAGGCCACAAGCATCGGAACCTGGCATGCCTGGGACTCTGGATTAGTGATTCCTTCACGCCCTTCACGGCCACCCTGTTCAATAACAATCGGGGTCATGGAGAATAATGCAGGGCCACTTTGAGTGGCACCGGACTTAACGATCAGAAAAGGCACCTCACTCCTTCACTGTAGATCCTTACAGTCTAGACGATGTGTAGATGCCATCAAGCAGAACCAAACCCAGGGAGTTGGTCCACGTAGTGCAAGAGAGAGAGAAAAAGTAAATTCTGAGCATCTCTCTCTATATGAAATTCTATAAATGCCATTTCGTTAGTGAATTGGCGCTGCTTTTAGACATAGTGGGGCATAGCTCAGGAGGATTTTATGCTCAGTCATGGGATTTCTGAATTGTAATTATAGCTTCTCATCCTGCCTCCTGAAATAACTCCAATGTAGTCTTGAATAATGTGCACTTGCCTGCAATAACACTCCTTAATACTGCAAATTCAGCATATTAAATATTGTACCATAAATATTGTTCTACTTAATATAAGTAAAGTTAAAACATTCATATTTTGTTGTGCAACTTAATCCCAAGAATGCTTACTGAGAAGTAAGCTCCACTAAAGCAAGTGTGCTTATGCTATGGACACAATGCAGGAAGATGTTCACCCAGAAAGCTTGTGTGTTCCTCTCTCTTTGTCCCTCTTTTTTAAAAAACCAAAATCGAAACCTTGACCTGAAATAATACGAATGCATGAATGCTGAGTTGGACTGAGTTAGGCTGCAAGTCTTTGAGTCCAATGTAGAAAAACACTCAGGATTTTAACAGTGTGGTCCTTTGCAAGTTTCTTCAGACATTCCTCTTAATTTTACAGGACTTGCACCAAATAATTTTGCCTAAGACTATTTAGAATTTGAACTTTAGTTTAATGCACACTTATTTGGTATATTGAAGCTAGTGGTACTTAAAGAAGTGTCAAAGCTGCACAATAACAAAATGATAAACGTAACTTAAGTGAACTTGAGGATCTTTTGTTTAGTTAACTAAGACTGTAACCAGGACTTACTGCCAAATAGACATGCATTGCATTTTTATGTTTTTTAAAATTAAGACAAATCTTGTAAATAAGCCACAAACAGTTACTAGCCTGAAATACTTGTTTTACTATCTTGCTGTGGGCTAGTAGAGGAGTAACAGAGTTCATTGCCTCCTGCAGCAACCCTCTGCATTTCTAGCTGATTGTGAAGGAGGGGCTTCCCTCTGGCTGCTTGCTTGGGAGGAGCAATAGGAAACTTCATCCCTCTTGCACCAGCCTACTCACCTGCAAGCAGTTCTTGTCACCTATAGCTACCAGGGGAGTGCTTAAAATCCAAGTATCCAAAATTTTTAGACAGATGTGACCTTAACAGCAGTCCTTGGAAGTTTAGAACTGTTAGTGTGTATTGCAGACAAACAGAATAGCTGCTTTAGGTTTAGGTTTAACCTGCTCCCATTGAAATCTGCAGGGCTTAAAGATAAAGATTTGTTTGGATCATGCATTTAGTATAGTGTTGTGGTTCAGCACTTTGAATTTTGAGATAGTGCTGGTAAGTGAATTTACAGCCATTCCCTACTGAGGTCATTACTGTAAACTAGTCAAGGCTTTCCCCCTTCTCTTCAACCCTAATTGCTGCCCGGAAAAATAGCCAACAGGAATAAACTGATTTCTTTCCTGAGAGTATCGGTCTTCAAGTGATGAGAGAAGTGTTGAGTTTCATCTCAATCCCTTCAAAAATTATGACTTATGAAATATTTCCTCTTTTAATCAACAAATACTGTATTTTAGGAGCCTTGCTTACTGCAGAACATGTGAAGGATCATGTTAAAATTTCAGTTGAAGAAGGCCAAGAGAACATTCTACGGGTATCTGAGTAAGTGCCTTGTATCTTTGCCATTAGTGCTTTTAAAAGTCAATTTATATATTTATGCTGTTGAGTGGAGGGCAGAAGAAAGAGTAATATGATTTAATGGTTGCTTGTGGGATGAATATTTAGCCATCTCACTTCTTTGCTCCTGTTTAACCTCTATCTTCTGTATTATAAAGCTATTATATGTGTTTGTATATATTCACATACTGCTCTTTTTTATTGCTACTTTTTATGTAAAAAACCCTTCTTCAGTTCTTCGTTGAACTGAGTTTGGAGTGGTATTATTAATAAAATTAATTTAGGAATTCTCCTGTTTGTAATTATTTTGTTTTTGCTATCTTTATTAGGCTTAGAATCCATTTTTACCTGTTTTAGCGCCTGGCAACTAAAATAGTAGTATTCTTACTGTAAACTAATTGATTTAAATCAGTTGTGCAATTTGTATTTCACTTCCAGTCTTCTTCCCTCCTCCCCCAAACAATATTTCATTGTAAATGGTTACCTCAATTTAGTTTAGTAAACATGCTGGCTGTTTCACCACTCTTTGTCCCTTCTTCATATTCAAAGTAAAGGGGCTGACACTGGTTCACTCATTTCTATGAGCTAGTTGTGAATACAGGGGCACCTTCCCCATCAAGAAGCATGGACCAGAGATGAGCAGCATCTGCCTCTCTTCATTTCAAGTAGAAAAATGCTAGTTTTTAAGTTCAGAATAATAAAAAGGAAGATTGCCCTGAGCATTGTGTGTGTGTGTGTGTGTGTATATATATATCCTGATTATTTTTTAAAAACACATTTTCATGTTGCCACCTTTCTTGCTTGTTAGTTAATTGAACATCATCAAACTTCCAATGGTTTTTCTCCTCAAATAACGAGAATTAGAGTAGTGCAGCAAATTATAAAGGTCTAAAAAGGGACAGGCACTTAACTGATTTTTTATTTTTATTTGGTAGAATGCCCATTAGTTCATTTAAAAATAACTTGCTATGCTGCTTTTATGATCCATCCTAATGCAATTGTATTTCAGTCTGGAGAAGCTCATGTATTTTTCTTTCTCTCTCTCTCTCTCTCCCCGCCCCCCCTTTAAATAGTCAAGTTACATTTACAGATGTGAATTCCATAGCTCGCTATCTGGCTAGAATTGCCACATCTGCTGGATTATATGGATCTAATTTGCTGGAACACACTGAGGTATGAATCAATTGCTTATATTTGAGATTGCCTATTTGATTATGCCCCCGCTATTTGATTAACACCTTAAATGTTGCAGAATGATGTGAACTTCTTTTAATATTTTCCAATGGCAATGGGTGGTAATCAACTAAGTTTTAGTTCAAAGTAGTTCCACTTAAATTAGCGAACTGCAATGCATGGTGTGTGTGGCTGTCCTTGAAAATGGTGCAAAACGTGGTGTCTTGACTCCTTCCTGGAACAGGATATCGCCAACATGTTACTCCACCGTTGAAAGAATTTCACTGGCTGTTAATTAAGGTAAAGGACCTCTGACAGTTAAGTCCCGTTGCGAATGACTCTGGGGTTGCGGCGCTCATCTCGCTTTACTGGCTGAGGGAGCCGATGTTTGTATGCAGACAGTTTTTCCGGGTCATGTGGCCAGCATGACTAAGCCGCTTCTAGCGAAACCAGAGCAGCGCACGGAAACGCCGTTTACCTTCCCGCCGGAGCGGTTCCTATTTATCTACTTGCACTTTGACGTGCTTTCGAACTGCTAGGTGGGCAGGAGCAGGGACTGAGCAATGGGAGCTCATCCCGTCGTGGGGATTCGAACCGCTGACCTTCTGATCGGCAAGTCCTAGGCTCTGTGGTTTAGACCACAGCACCACCCACGTTAATTACCTACTAAGAAAAGCTCATTGTGCTGGTTTTAGTGTGGGAGGCATAGTACCTCTGGCAGGGGACTCATCGTGCTTCTTCTGGGGTAGTTTCTCAACCCTTGGTCCCTACCGTGCACCCAGTTCTCCCCTGTGGCTCCTAGAAGCTGTCAGGGTGTGACAGCAGCCACACCCTAGGAGTGGCTTCAACTGGCTGGCTACATGAGAATAGCCAATGGGTCTCAAACCCTCAGTGCATTAGGGACCTCCCCTGCATGCGAAGATAGGCTCCAGCAGACTGAGTGGCTGAGACCAATTGTTGGTTTTCAGTAGATCTATACCGAGTAATACTTAGGTTAATAGCACCCAGTGTGTGATTTTTGGTGTTGGCTATAAACAACACTTTTATATAACTTGTTACAAAATATTTAAGCAAAAACAACTCCCTTCTTTTCCAAAGGTTGACCATTGGATGGAGTTCAGCACCACAAAGTTGTCTTCTTCCACCAGTTTTGCTTCAGCAGTTCAAGAGCTCAATAACTGCCTTTCTCTGAGAACTTATTTGGTTGGGAACTCTTTGAGTCTTGCAGATTTCAGTGTTTGGGCAACACTAAAAGGTAAATAATATAGAAAATGTGTTAAAATTGCAGTACCTTGATAACTACTTATTTATGTATTACATTCACCAAAGTGTTGCTATCCTTTGAAATTAAAATCCAAAGAATTCTCTTCTTATTTTTACATACTAGTAAATTTAGTGAGACCAGCCATTTTTCTTCTTTTTGCTGTGCAAGGTGTTATGTTATTTTATTGTTTTAATGTAATGGCTGTTTTAAATAGATTGTTTTAATTAATAGCTCCTCTGGAAGCACTTTTAGGTTTGAAGAGTTAGATATTGATGTCAGATTAAATAACATATAATGTTTTGCATGAATTAAATTCTGCAGCATAATAGGTTGCATACCTCATTTTTGTTATATGAATGAAAGTAGCTCTATTCATTGAAGGCTACAACCCATGAAATCTACAGATCTGTTACATTATTGTTTAAACAGCTTTTCCAACTGTGTTTTTACCTTTTTCGCCGGTGAATTATTTTGTAATGTGATACCACTTTCCCCCCCAAAATTGCATATGTTTGAGGAGACCTGTACACCTGAACAGCTCAGTGAATGCCTCTATTCTGTGCCCTTCCTAAAATTATAGCGTAGAATTTGATTTTTATCTAGTGGTGTGTTCTCATAGCTGAGCTTCTAATATTGATCTGTGCTGATGTTTGGTGTGATTCATGTCAGTAAGAAATCTTGCCAAACTGTCTGCTTCCTAATGTTTAATAAAACATAGCTTTTCCCCCCAATAGGCAACAGTGCAGGGCAAGAGCTGTTACTTCATGGTAAAGCTCCAGTTCATGTAAAACGCTGGTACAACTTTCTTGAAACACAGCATGTTTTCCAGTCAGTAGGTTCCAGGTGGACTGTGGGAGCTGCTATTCCAAAGACTAAAATGGTAAGCTTTTTGCTGATTAGGCATTTCTGGCTCATATTCTACCAGAGTTCTGTCATCTAAGGGTGGATGTAAATGATTTTATCTGCAAAGTGCTGAGCAGAAAAGGTCACAATGGGCTGCTGCACATCTGAGACGTAAAAGATCTGAATCAGCAGTGTTGTTAGCACAGTTTTCAAAAGAAGAATGGGAGGAAATTAAAAGCTTGCTCATTACTTTGTGACTTTTCGGTTGGTCCTTATAAAAGGTATCGCACCACTGTTGCTTTTAGATTTTTTTCTAGTAGACCAGCACAGCCAGCAGCAGTTTTTGTCTTTCTGTGCAATGTAGCCTATACAGAGGTACCTCGGGTTACAGAGGCTTCAGGTTACAGACGCTTCAGGTTACAAACTCCACGAACCCAGAAATAGTAACTTGGGTTAAGAACTTTGCTTCAGGATGAGAACAGAAATCGTGTTCCGGAGGCATGGCAGCAGTGGGAGGCCCCATTAGCTAAAGTGGTACCTCAGATTAAGAACAGTTTCAGGTTAAGAACGGACCTCAAGAACAAATTAAGTTCTTAACCCGAGGTACCACTGTATTGGATGTAGTGCTCAAAGTACAATAAAAAGCATGTTAAAGAAACAAGCATATTCAGTTTAGAATTGAACTGTTAAGATGCAAGCTTTAACTGATATAGTTGTGCTACTCTAACAACCTTGTCATGTTTCAGCTTAGGGATTTGCTCACAGTAGCAATCAGTGGGAAAGGACAGGGACACTTATCTGACCTCCTGTCACTGACTTCACTGTGTTTGCTGGGATGGGTAGGGAGGTCAGCATGGTGCAAACTCACCAGCAGGAGCTCTGGATTGACTCCTTTGCTGCATTTGCACTGCGCCAGCCTTTCTGCTGCCTCACCCCTCTCCCTCCTGGTAAGCGCAGTGTTGTAACGGGAGGTCAGATAAGCACCACCACTTCTCCCCGCTGACCACTGCTGTCTGTTCAGTAACAGAAAGATAATACTGGAAGGTCCCCATTCTAGATGCTGGGGGCACAAAGGTGGGAGGGGGGTAGAGCTGCCAGGGGAATGAGGTGGCAGAAAAATCCTCTTCTGCCATCCGCCTTTTTTCTGCCAGCCCATTGAACTTGTGCTGCTGTTCATAGAGCCCATCTCAGATAATTATTTACTCGCTCAGTTGTTACTGCTAACTTAGTTTTCATAATAAGAGTCTGTGTGTTTCTGTGCTCAGTTTGTGATTTAATAATTTCATTCATTGTTTTAATTTTAAGGCAGCAGAGAAGAAACAAGATGTTGGGAAATTCGTTGAACTCCCTGGAGCAGAGATGGGAAAAGTCATTGTTAGATTTCCTCCTGAGGCAAGTGGGTAAGTTGACATTTGTAGGTTGGTGTGTGTAAGGACTTTTAAACCCACACTCTTTTCGCAGTGTGAAAGATAGAGAATGGATTTTCTCTTGTAATTTTCATAAGGAAGTGAGAATTTAAAAACCATGTTACTTTTTAAATTACTTTTTAAAGCGTGTTCTTTTGTATGAAACTGCTTATCTTTAGATGCCCTTCTCATGTAACTGAAAAATGTATGTGTCAAACATGAAGGAAAATAAAGTATATTTTGAGAGTTTTATTTCCGTCTCATTCTGTCCTGGGAAACCTCAGTGTTCTGCATGATTACTGTTAGTTCACATTTCTTTTAATTGGAAAATGTAAAGATTCACAATATTTGTGTTTTATCAGTTAAATATTTTAGCTTACATAGGCCTGTATCGAAAGAACTGTGAGTGGAGCTTCACTTAGGGGATAGGGCTTTCCTTTCCTTGCTCCCTCCCTTCTGGAGCCTCTTTTTTGAGCTTTTTTTGATGATAATCAGGCTATAGAATGGTTTTTGCCATATCAGTTATTGAGTATTGTGGTAGGCATTTGTCTTGAAAGGGATATAAAGTATACCTTAAACAAAAGAATGGTGGTGTGTCCATGTACAATTCCTAAGTCACTGACTTCAAACATTAACTTGGTCTGAGTCCAAAAACAATTGGATTCTGTTCTCAAGAGGCTATGAAGTTATGACGGAAAGAAAAAGTTTTAAGTTTTTTTTATTTTAAACAAAACATACTTTACAGCGACAATTAAAGAAGGGAAATACTAATACTTTGCCTCTTCCTTTGGTGTGCTCTATGTTTTACTTTACTTTCCCCTTGTATCCAATGTTCTTTTTTTCTTGACATTCTTTTCTGCCTAGATACTTGCATATTGGACATGCAAAAGCTGCTCTGTTGAATCAGCACTACCAGGTCAACTTCAAGGGTAAAACTGATCATGAGGTTTGATGATACAAATCCAGAAAAAGAAAAAGAAGATTTTGAAAAGGTATCTTTTCATAACGATATCTCATTCTGGGTCTCCGATTGTTTTGATTTCTATACAGTTCTGTTTGTTAACTATGGAGTGGGTGGGGACACCTCACATAACACAAAGGATATCATTCACACAGGTGCTTTAGGAATAGCCTGGGACTGAGCCTAAGTCCTTTCCACCCAAATGTTGTCCTTGCTTTTCATCAGACAGTTGGCTGTTTGGCCCCACCAATGTGCTTCTAGGCTTTCAAAAGTTACCTTGGGTGATGTGGGATGAAACAACAGAGAAGAAAAGCTCATTGCACTGGAATAAAATATGAACAGAGCTAGAGAAGATCTCTCTTTTATGGATTTATTTGATTTACAATGCAAACTATGAAATAAACAGTATAGAGCATGATTCATTGTGAAGCTGGGCTTCTAAAAAGTGTTTTTTAAAAGACCACATTGATAGCAAATGAATCTCTCATTGACGCTCTCACCCCAATGCATATGCGTTAATAGCGCTAAGAAGCCAAGTGGGCTTGCTATAATTGCACTGAGGATCTTGTTCTTCACTTTGATGGCTCTGGTTCCGACCTAAGATGACCTATTCAGAAGGAAACAGTGGCTAATGGTATCAGAAGGTACCGAGAGGTTGAAATTGCCGGTGAGATCTAGGATATCCTCATGCACAATACAGAAATGCAAAAATTGTTTTCTCTGGATAAATTAAGCATTTAGAAGAAACTAAATTGACATAGTAAGATTTCAAAGTTCTTTTGTAGAGCTCTTTAAGCAACCGCAACCCCCAAAGACCTACTGGATCAGGTGAAAATACGGATCATGTGAAAAAGGCATAATCTGTCAGTGAGAGGACTTAATACTAGGATTTTTGTATATCAAGTTAATCTTTTCAACATTTATATCTTCAGGTTATCTTGGAAGATGTTGCAATGCTGCACATCAAACCAGACCAGTTCACATACACTTCGGATCATTTTGAAACAATAATGAAATATGCTGAGAAGCTCATTCATGAAGGGAAGGCTTATGTAGATGATACGCCCGCAGAACAAATGAAAATGGAACGAGAGCAAAGAACAGAGTCCAAGCACAGAAATAACTGTAAGATGCTTTTTCTGGCTTCTATCTCGTATTTGCTTTGCTAATTAGTTGCTTAGTTGTTGTTACTATTGTTATTGTTGTTGTTATCATCATCATCATCATTTATTAAATTTGAATACCACGTAAAAATACAAAATGAGAACCCAAAATACATAACAATAACAAAAACAAATCAATAACCCCCTTCCCACCAACACATTTAGAAGGACATAGAATGCTAATCAGCCAAAGGCCTGTTTGAAGAGGAATATTTTTGTCTAGTGCGTAAAGATATGTAATGAATGCACCAGGTGAGTCTCCCTTGGGAGAGCATCCACAAATGGGGAGCCACTGCAGAAAAGGCCCATTATTGTACTGCCACCCTCTGGACCTCTCATGGAGGAGGCACACAAAAATGGGCCTCAGATGATGATCTCACTAATTTTTTGCATATCTAGTTAAAAGATCATCATGTTGTAGATCTGGGAAAGACCTCTGTCTGAGATCCTGGAGAGATGCTGCCAGTCAGAAGAGACAATAGTAGCTAAATAAATCAGTGGAATTTCAGATGAAAAAACGTTAAACCCTTTAGTTAAGGTCATTGCCAAAATACCTGCTAGGCTAGAGTTGCTGTCAGTTTTAGCTACATTCTTGTTGGAGATGTCTCACTTTTGGTAAATAATATTTCATAGTACCAGAGCTGGGTTATTAAATCTGAACTAAATCTTTGCCGTTTTATAGCTGTTGAGAAGAACTTCAAAATGTGGGAGGAAATGAAAAAGGGAACGGAATATGGGCAGACCTGCTGTCTACGAGCAAAAATCGACATGAGTAGTAACAATGGATGCATGAGGGACCCAACTCTTTATCGTTGCAAAAACCAGCCACATCCACGAACAGGAAATAAGTACAAGTATGTGTTAAGAAATGGGACTTGCAATTCACTTAGTGATAGGGCCACTTACAGTGAGATTAGTAGTGGGCCTTGGGCTACTGTGCTCTCAGTTGCAGACTGAGAGACTCTCCCAGTCCTTCTTTCAGTGCACAGGGAGGGAAGCAAACCAGATGCTGGTTTGTCATTACCTGCAAACCAGCACTCATGGTTTGTTTCTCCATTAACAAACCACAAGAGCTGTTTCACATGTCGTGCCAAGCCAACTTCTGGTTTGTTTCCTCCTCAGCATGCTGAAGGAAAGACCAGGGAGGATTGACTCCTGAATTTTTGAAGTGTTGCCCAGCACATTCATATTCTTGCTAAACCATTCTTAAAATTTAGCGATGGTTTCTCATTAAGTGTGGATGGGGCCATTGAATTGGTGTCTTTATCTTTGGCCCTTTATCAAATTAAGTTGAGTGTTGCTTTGCCTGATGAAATCCCAACAGTGTTATGGAAAACCTTCTCTTTTCACAGCAGCTTCTGGCCTTGCCAGCATAGCTTTGTCTGATTAAAAACTGGGCAGAGATAACATTTTGCGGGGATTCCATCCTAATACTGCTGTGGACTGGGGATGTACTTTCCAGGGAGAATTAGAGAGCGGCTTCTTAACCCTTCCTTCCTCCTTTTAATCTCTTTCTACTCCCTCCCAAATCTGAAATGGGAAGTGAACTGGGAAAAAGCACTGTGTGTGTGTGTGTGTGTGTGTGGTTTGCTGGGATTGGAAGCCATGGAAGATGTTAAGTATTCTTCCTTGCAGGTGGCCCCCTGTTCCCCCCCCCCACACATTCTTACTATCTCAGTAAAAAGGGATTTGGGGTAATAACGGGGTTTCACCCTATTAATTTTTTGCTCCAAAGAAGTTTGCTTTATGAACTGACATTTAACAGTTCCAGCTGGGCTCAATCCTCTACTATCAGTGACCTCAAAAGAAAAACCTTCCTATTTTCTCTTTCACTTTTTCATTCTGGAAAAGCAGTTCCTAGAACTAGCTCATTTCCTATAATTACTGTGGAACTAGCTCACTCACTATAACTACTGGGTTTGTGCTGTAATGTTAAAGTTTTGCTTCTGTTATATACCGTATTTTTCCCTCTATAACACGCAGATTTTTTCTCCTAAAAAGGAAGGGGAAATGTCTGTGCGTGTTATGGAGCGAATGTGTGGTCCCTGGAGCCAAAAAATCAGGCAAAAATCAAATCGCGCGTCTCAGAGAAGGGAAACCTGAAAAGAGGAAGCGGCTGCTTTCCTGCATTCTGCCTCAGGGTCTTACTGCCCACCCTCCTCTGTTTCGTTGCTGTGTTTGCTCAAACGGAACAAAGAGCAGGGAAAGCCCCTCCCCTCCAGGCAAGCAGAGGGGAAAGCAGAGTGTGTTCCTTCTAATTCCTCTCTGTGCTCCGGTGCTGCTGGGAGTGGGAGAGAGAGAGAGAGAGAGAGAGAGAGAGAGAGAGAGAGAGAGAGAGAGAGAGAGCTGGCTGGTTTGGGTGCTTGGGTGGGGGGAAACTTTTGCCTTTCTTTCTTTCCTCCCTCCCGTTAAATCCCTCTCCTGCATTCTTAGCCAGCTGCTTCTCTGCACACCCCTCTCGTGCTCCTTTTCCCTTCTTTGTTTTTCCTTCCCTCCCCACTTAAAATGTGGTTACAAAGCATAGATCCACATGGATCCTCAGGATCTTTGCATTGGGTCACCCCAAATTCAGCATCAGATCACATAGCATGTCCATGGCTACAGCCTGCCCCCCCAAAATCACGCACCCACTGTTGCCTGGGGCTGCAATGGTGCAAAAACGTGGTTAAAAAGCATGGATCCACATGGATCCTCAGGATCTTTGCATTGGGTCACCCCAAATTCAGCATCAGATCACATAGCATGTCCATGGCTACAGCCTGCCCCCCCAAAATCACACACCCACTGTTGCCTGGGGCTGCAATGGTGCAAAAACGTGGTTACAAAGCATAGATCCACATGGATCCTCAGGATCTTTGCATTGGGTCACCCCAAATTCACCATCAGATCACATAGCATGTCCATGGCTAGAGCCTGCCCCCCAAAAATCACGCACCCACTGTTGCCTGGGGCTGCAATGGTGCAAAAACATGGTTAAAAAGCATGGATCCACATGGATCCTCAGAATCTTTGCATTGGGTCACCCCAAATTCACCATCAGATCACATGTCTGTGGCCACAGCATGAAGCACAAAAATGATACATCCACTGTTTCATTCAGAATGTTTTTTTCCCTTGTTTTCCTCCTCTAAAAACGATGTGCGTGTTATGGTCAGGTGTGTGTTATAGAGCGAAAAATACGGTATTTAACAGAAGCAAAACCTGAACAGTACAGCACAAGCACTTTGAGAACAAAGGTACAACTGTACAGTATAGTGTTTGAGCTTGGTTTTAAGATAGTGGAAAGTTCTTTTTTTCTCTTTCATTAACAGTAGTCATCACAACAGGCTAAATCTTTCCGTTGCTTTAGAGATTGTTTATTAAATTTATTAATAGTGTGTGCAGTGCGCAACACTTTCAATGTGCACATGAAGCTTACTTGCATTTTTTCTTACATTTCAGCATTTATCCCACGTATGATTTTGCCTGTCCCATAGTTGACAGTATTGAAGGTGTCACTCATGCATTAAGAACAACAGAATATCATGACAGAGATGAACAGTTCTACTGGATTATTGAAGCCTTGGAAATAAGAAAACCATATATCTGGGAGTACAGCCGCTTAAACCTCAACAACACTGTATTGTCCAAAAGGAAGCTCACTTGGTTTGTCAATGAAGGGCTAGTGGATGGCTGGTATGTTAAAGGAGTTAAACTTGGTAGGAATTTTGCAGGTGTTTATAGATGTGCACATTTGTTTTGCAATCTAATCAGTGTATAGATAATTTTTCATAAGCAGTATCTTACACTAAAAATAAGTTGTTGTGGCTTTATTTTTTTAATTTACAAAGATTACTCCAAAGAATGAAGAAATTAACAGGTTTACAACTCGCTAGATATTGTGTTAGTCAATATATTTTAAATACCCTTGCTCAGTCTTTTTATCCAACAAATTTTCTTAACTGTCGGTGTTAGACTTTCAAACTCAGATAATAATTGTTCAGAATTATTGGCTTTAATTATTATTATTATTAATAATAATACACCGCCCATCTGGCTGGGTTTCCCCAGCCACTCTGGGCAGCTTCCAGCAAAATATTAAAATACAATAGTCCATCAAACATTAAAAGCTTCCCTAAACAGGGCTGCCTTCAGATGTCTTCTAAAAGTCTGGTAGTTGTTGTTCTCTTTGACATCTGGTGGGAGGGCGTTCCACATGGCGGGTGCCACTATCGAGAAGGCCCTCTGCCTGGTTCCCTGTAACTTGACTTCTTGCAGCGAGGGAACCACCAGATGGCCCTCAGCAGTGGACCTCAGTGTCTGGGCAGAATGATGGGGTGGAGTTTTGTGCTCAGTTTTGTGATGAGCAATGTTTGAATATGTAGGTTCAAAGTAGGGAATGTGTGTGGGTCTCCCCACACTCTTCTTTTCGTGTAATCTTTCCTTTTCAACTGAGGTTTCAAACCTGGGGAACAGAATGTGGCAGAAATCTACCTAATAGTAACAAAAAACATGCAAAAGGAATGGTGGATTAATTTACTTTTCCATGGCCATCTGCACAATTATTAGTACTATATTAATCAGGTTAACCAGATTGAGTTTTTCTTCACGTCACTTGTATACCCAAAATATATGATTGGAAGGATGCTCGTTCCTCTCAAGTGTCATTGTTGACAACTTTTTGCTACATATAAATTAAGCAAAATGAGTAGAAATCTCCAAAAAGAAGAGAGTTAAAGTCTCAGAAATTTTGGTATGAATATTAATAACATCCCTTGGGTAACTATGTAATTATTTAAGAAATCAATGGCACAATGCATGCATTGCTTATGTTTGTTGAAAATTTACTGTTACTTTCTGATATAGTGTTTTAGATATACATTGTATCATTTTCAGTAAAACCATTTCCAGCAAACACTCTTCTGGTCCTTAGATTGTTCTGTGCTTATGGGATGCCTTCTGTTCTTGGAAAAAAGACCCAAGAATTAAGCAGGTTGCTATGAATTCATCAAAGTTGCTATCACAGCTTTTGCAGGATAAAAGAAAGATGTGCTTGCTGTTGGAGAGCCAAAATAAAAAGAGAATTTTAAGAATCCTCTCTTCCAAGTTTATTCAACATAGGCTTCTTGATATTGTCACAATTTTGCATTGTTAAATTAAGCAGAAATTCCTTTCTATTAGGGATGACCCAAGATTCCCAACTGTGCGTGGTGTCCTAAGAAGAGGCATGACAGTTGAAGGACTGAAACAGTTTATTGCTGCACAGGTAGGTGGTTGCATGTCCACTCTCCCTTCAGCTGGAGTGTCTTTGTAGATCTAGTTACAGGTAGGTAGCTGTGTTGGTCTGCTGTAGTCGAAACAAAATAAAAAAAATTCTGAAGTGTGCATGCACACGAAAGCTCATACCAATAACAAACTTAGTTGGTCTCTAAGGTGCTACTGGAAGGAATTTTTTTATTTTGTAGATCTAGTCGTTTTATAGACGAGTCCTTTTTTTGAAGAACATCAGGAAAGTCTTCCTCTTGTGACTTTGATTGTTCAGTTGTCCAATCCTTGGGTAGCCTTTTACATGTTTTGGGGCTATATCTCCCATAGTACTACCAACCTTACTGTGAAACATGGACCACTCATTCTCTGAGATACTCTACCAGGGACCATAGGATTATGATTTAAAGAAGTTGATACATCATATTAACATTTGGAAAATAATACATCAAACAACTATAGCATGTTCAATATCTAACTGGACAATTGATCCATCTTTAATTTACCCTCAGACTTATACCTGAAACTTTTAAGAAAGCATAGTGTGTTAAAGAAGACCGTCTCTATTTTGCAACAAAGAATGATTACTTATTGATGGATTCCTCCCACCCTCACCCCCAGCAAGTCACTTATTTTTAGTCCTGAGGAAGGATGTTTTTTTTTTTGTAAAGAAGTAAGGTTGTGGAAGAGAATGGTTAAAGTAAATAAGATGTAATTCAAAATGCAACAACAAATAACACCATCAAGATTTATGGCCTTTCTTTCTCCTATCCCCCTCTTCCCATTATATTTTACAGGGCTCTTCTCGATCAGTTGTAAACATGGAGTGGGATAAAATTTGGTCATTTAACAAAAAGGTACATGCTCCTCCATTTTGATCTGATGACATTTCTGATTGACACCTGGTCTCTTGTTGCTGGTTGTGAACCCAGTGTTCTTTGGAATGCTCTTCAAAGACTAGCTAATGCAGTATGTTGCATCACCTTGCTCCTCATCTTCAGGAAAATGGAATGTCCCCTCTTGCTAACCAGGGCTAACACTAATCTTGCTGACTTCTGCCAGTCTGATACTGAATTGTTGTTCTTGAATTGTGTGGGAGATAATGATATTTTGCTAATGTAAACTCTGATGAAAATTCTGCATTTCATTTTTCTGCTTTCAAGCTGCGAGCTATCTGTAAGAAGGTATTACTTAACGCTTTTTCTGCCTTAGCATATAGCTTACAGTATTGTAAGCATACATAGCATAAGCCATCACTGTGCAACTTCTCATAGCACAACCACGTTTGCTTACATAACAAGAGCTGTGTATTTCCATCTTAAAATGCATTATTCCTGTTCTAAAGGGGAAATAATGATCTGAGTCTGAATTTCTCAACAGAGAAGAAAGTCTCACTTTTAATTTACAATGCTGGACATACTGCCTTTCTGCAGTGTACTGAAGGCGTTAACATTTTCTCTCTCAGACAGCAAGTAAAGCTCTTCTGATGTGTCTTAATTTAGCATCAAATAAGGAATACTGCATCTTGACATGGTTAGTTGCTTCTTTGGCAGCAGATGCTTGGACACTATAATAAGGCGAACTGTTTGTGTCTGTCTGCACAACTCTGTGGCTGTTCTTATTCTTTTAACTTGAGTCTGGATTTTTGCTTGTTTTCAAGGAGGCTTGCCCCAGAACTAAGTATTTGCTTGCCTGGCATGTGTCTTGTATTATCCTAAAGCCCTTCTCATTTGTTCTCTTTATTTTATATGAGGGATTATCAATTGGTTCTTTTTGTTGCTGCATAGATGGACACTAGTGCGTCAAACAAATTTATAAACACCATTGGCCTTAAATTTATGTTGTTGTTCACTTCTTGGCACTGTATGCTGCCTTATTCATTCACCCTGGGGCAAGAGTGAAAGCGAAGGCATTGAATTGGTTTGTAGGACCAAGTATTCAGCTACTGAGAAAGCAAAAATAATGAGTCAGTAGCACTAGAGAAAAGCAAACTCTTAACAGTTAGATTAATTCAAGAATACCCAAATAACCTCTGTTTGTTAGTGCAGTCAACAAACTGCGCTGGTTAGCTGTGGGGCAGTTAAAGTTTTGCTTTTTTGTGAATACTGATAAGAAAATTATACCTCTGCACACCTATTAAAAAGTAACACAAGTGTTGCTGATACCTGGATCTAATCCAAAGTCAGATTATTGAATTTGGACTCCTGGGGTGCCCAGATCCATGGTGTCAACAATTTCATTGTGTTTCTTATTGATAGGTGGAAATATGAGTGATGTGTGTTTCAAGTACTTCCAACTAGTTAGCATCCATATCAGTAGTAGTGTGTACGTTGTTTCACTTCTGGTACGAAACCTGTTTTAGTTAATTTTCTCCTGCAACACTATTGTACTCATGGCCCTAGCATTTGGGAAAGCAGAATGTAGGATATTTCCTTAGAAGCCGCTGTTTTCACATGTAACCTAAAAATAAAATAAATAATAAATACTGCCCTCAGATTTCTCTCCCAGATGAGCTAGTTTTGTATGTGTGTACATGATTTCTCCATTCCTTTACTAGCCTTAATACCTCCAGCTAGTACAAAGTAGCAAGGCCTTGTAAGCGAGACTGAAAAGCCTAAACCGATAAAGAAGCGAGTGCAGTAAAGCAGAAGCAAATACCTGGAAGCTGTTCTGTATGAGTTGTGAATAGAGTAGAAAACTATTTTGTCAGTAATGCGAGAGAGGAGAAGCTATGATTGAGTTCATTGCTGTGATGTTGCCTTATTATAGTGATCTAACACTGTTGTTAGGAGCAGTCAGTGGGGTGTGGGAGCATGGAGCCACCTTCCCAACAGGTGTTGCCGCAGCTTGATGCGGAAGTGTGACAATGAGGCCAGGGTTTCTCAGGAGCACCGGTGGGAGTACCCGATTGACTCTGTCAGCACACCCACACTGCCCCTACCTTACCACAGTCATACCCACCCACTTGCTCCCGCACCATCCTAGTAAGCAGTAGTGATACTGCTCTTGGGAGAGCGACTCCATGCCACCTGCCCTGCCATGTGGCTGCTCCGGGCTTTTGTTGAATAATGGTGATGCCGGAAAACATACTTCACGGAAGAAATTCACAGGAAAAAAAGTGCAATTATGGAATTGTGTCCTGTGTTGATAATAACTAAGGGTGAAATCTATTGTTCTTTTAAAAACTGATCCCGTGAGTTCAGCATAATTGCACACTAAGGCTTCACTCTTACACACATTTACTTAGAAATAAGCTGCATTGAAACTCAAGTAGGGTTTGCTTTCTAGCATGCATACATTGGCTTATCCTGTAAGACTTAAGCCAACATTCAGAGTTACCTGTAATCTACACAGGTATTACTAGGATTGTTACTTGCTTTATGCCCAGAACTGTAACATTTATTGCCCTTACTATATATGTAAAGTTTTAGATGATTTCTAAACCAGAGGTATCCGTTTTTTGTGTGGAAGGCCAGGAGAGTGTGTCACTCTTGTGGATTTTGAGTTACTCTTTTCTTATTGACCAAAGATGCAGTAACACAAAGAATACCAGTTAATATTCCTAAATTATGCATACACTTTTTAGTTCACATAACTCTGATTTTTTTAAAAATAAAAATCTGTTCTGGGAGTACTGAATAGATGTGATTATTTTTGGTTATTCTTGGTATGTAGGTTATAGATCCTGTGGCACCTCGTTACACCGCTTTGCTGAAGAATGAAGTAGTCACAGTAAACGTTCCTGAAGCTCAAGAAGAGATGAAAGAAGTCGCCAAGCACCCAAAGGTTTGCTAGTTAGTTGTTTTGACACCGTAATGCAGATAGTTAAAACAGAGAACTTGTGTAGTATTCCCAAGTTTGCCTGAAACCATTCTTCCACACTCCCAAAGTGTAACAAAGGAAAAGTAAGATTAGTTAGCTCATGGATGGCAGAGCTAATGAAAGAGTAAAATGGGAGTGCAAGGTGACATGATATGCTCTTTAGCTCTCTGGGAAAGATCTTGAGAGAAAACAGTTTTTATTTTAGAGTTGGGATGTATGTGCTGAGGCAGGTTGAGGGAGCTCCTGGACTTTTAACTGTCTAATACACCCTGGCACATCCCCAAACCAGGGAGAACACTGTGCCAGCCCTGAAGCTGGGGGACCTATCAGCAGAGGCGGGAAATAGGAAGGGGCACCCCCTTCACATTTCCGTGCGCTGGTCTGGTTCGCCAGAAGCAGCTTAGTCATGCTGGCCACATGACCCAGAAGCTCCCTCGGCCAGTAAAGCGAGATGAGCGCCGCAACCCCAGAGTCGGCCACCACTGGTCCTAATGGTCAGGGGTCCCTTTACCTTTACCCCCCCTTCACATCTTTTGCCTTTCTGGCTTGAGCATAGCAGTTCTCCCTCCCCAGGCAAGTAGGATGGACCAGCTCATAGTTTAAACCATCTCATTGCGATCCAAAGAAGAATTCACATTAATAGCAAACTCTCCTGCAAAGCTCAGCATTTGTGTATTCTAGTATGGATTGGTGTGTTATAATCTAAAGCAAAAACCTGCAGTGCAACCCTATGTCTACTCAGAAGTAAGTTCTATGTGTAAGTGGAGCTTATTGTCAGGCACGTGTTAGGATTGCAGCCTTAACCAAGCATCTGGGTAAGTTCTTTTCTTTCTCGTTAACATGCAGAATGCTGAGGTTGGCTTGAAGTCTGTATGGTACAGTCCTAAAGTGCTGGTTGAAGGCGCAGATGCAGAGACGTTGACAGAAGGAGAGATGGTTACATTTATTAACTGGGGCAACATAACCATCACCAAAATACACAAGTAAGTTTCTGGATCTTGGAACAAGCTGGGATGTTGAATTCCATTGTCGAGAATTTTATTGGGAATTTTATTGGCTTTTTAAACATTGAAGTAAAGTATGTAATGGATGGGACTGTTAACACTGCAAGCACAGTTCTGTTATCTGTCTCCGCCACCTGATTGCAACCTTCTGCACCTCCAGAAGCTGTTCTTGGGGGTTCAGGGGATTGTTAGGACATGCTGCAAGGGAGCTGCAACTGCGGGGCAGCAAGCAGAAATTGCATAAGTTGAAGTGACATCTCACAATAGATCCAGCAGAGTGTAGCTTGACTGTTGACTGTGATGGTAGAGGTCCAGCGCCGAGGGCCTTCTGGCGGTTCTCTCACTGTGAGAAGCAAAGCTACAGGGAAACAGGCAGAGGGCCTTTTCGGTAGTGGTGCCCGCCCTGTGGAACGCCCTCCCATCAGATGTCAAAGAGATAAACAACTACCTGACATTTAGAAGACATCTGAAGACAGCCCTGTTCAGGGAAGTTTTTAATGTGTGACATTTTAATGTATTTTTAATCTTTGTTGGAAGCCGCCCAGAGTGGCTGGGGAAGCCCAGCAAGATGGGTGGGGTACAAATAATAAATGATTTATTTATTTAAACTCCTCTATGCAAAGCAAGTTAACTTCATGCCACTGATATAACCCAGATACTGTACCAGTCATTTATTTGCACTATTTAATCACAGTGTGTTCTGCTTCCGTGTAGGAACTCCGCTGGGAAAATCACATCTATTGATGCTAAACTAAATTTGGAGAATAAGGACTACAAAAAAACTGCTAAGATCACCTGGTTGGCAGAAACTCCTCGTGCTCCTCCCATCCCTACTGTCTGTGTCAACTATGAACACTTGATCACCAAACCAGTCCTGGGCAAAGAGGAAGATTTCAAGCAATATGTCAACAGAAATAGCAAGGTAGCTTGTAACATGTCACCTATTTATATTATTATTACATTTTTGAAATTTCTCTCATACTTCAAGGAGTTCAAATATGGTCTCCCCACTCCATCCCCCTGGACTTTTTTCTATCATAGTAAACCTGCAATTTCGCTTAGGTTGGGTGATTGTGACTAGCCCTCAAAATCACACAGTAAGCTTTGTGGTAGGGACAATATTTGAGCTGAAGTCTTCCTAATCAAAATCCGACACTATAGCCACTATACCATATTGGTTGTGTGCCTGCTTTTCTTCCTTTTAGATATTGGCTTTCCAAATGAGTTGCCATATTGTAGATCGGGGGCTTTCAATATTCACCTGGGCTGGCCTCACTCTTGCAATGCCACTAGGCTAATTCTTAGCATATGTACTATGTTGTTCATGGGACGTAATGCTGACTTGATTTTTAACCTGTTTACAGCAAGAAGAATTGATGTTAGGTGATCCTTGCCTTAAAGATCTGAAAAAAGGAGATATAATACAGATTCAGAGAAGAGGCTTTTATATTTGTGATCAGCCATATGAGCCTATTAGGTGAGCATCTGGAAACTCATTCCTTTTGTTTATCCATTTGGTATGCTCTGCCATAGAATTAGATAAGTGTGTTATGGCCATTGCAGAGTTTCGCAGCCCAAATTCCCATTTTTATACTCATATTCCAGACGTTCCTGTTTTGCCAGATACAAAATTAGAGGCTTGTGGAATGCATTTTGCAAAAGTAAATGGAGCAGAATGATTAGAAAAGTGTGTGCGTAGCTCTTGTGTGTACTCTTGAACAAACTGAAGAGCAGGCAGCCTGTTCTCTGTAATATCAGGCTGTATATTTCCCCGACTCATTTGTTGAACCATGCAGATAACAAAATGTAAAGGTTTTATCTATCCATTATTATTATACTCCTAACTCCATTTTAGCATACTACTATTGTTGCACTGAATTTTCATGAGGCTTGACATTTCACCACAATAGTTGGACTTTTTGGTGTTTGCCTTCTATTCTTCTGTACATTTCACCAACACACATACCAGTTGTCAGTCATCGAACCCCTGATATGTCGGCACTTCATGGAAAAAAACAAGGAAATGCATCCTGCTATCCTCAGGCAACTAGGCCATTACTCTCTGGCATATCATATTGTGCTGAAAGTCACCACTCTTCAGCCTAATCCAGCGCTCGGCACTCATCGCTATGCCTGACTGGATGGAGATGCATGCTTTGGATATGCATCTGGGCGTGCATCCCACTGAAAATACGGCAGTGCGGAGCGACAGCTGTGCATTGGAATGCAGAGGCTGGCCATCTGCACTGCATTCGTTTCAATAGGATTCACATCTCATCCACATTGTGCCCCAGCCGCTCAACTAAGCATAATTGGGTTGGGGCACAGGAGCATCATTCTGGTTTCCTTGGCAAATGGACACATATTTTCTCTTCTCATACTGGCTTCCCACGGTACTTGGCCCTTTGTGATATGGCGGATAACTGAAAAAATGCTGTAAATAAGAAACCTGTTTTCCAGAGGTTCAAAAGCTTTGGGAACACCTCAGATTAGTTACTGTTTTGCTAGACAGATACCATTAGGAGAGCAGCAAGACTACAAACAGCAGATACTGATGCTGAACTAAACTACGAGTTTGTCCAGCTAGGGGTATTACTATTTTTACAGTTTTTATATGTGCATTTATTTTTATACAAATACATGTTCTTTTGATATGTATAAAATTACAACCAGTGTGAAAAGAACTACATAGATCTAAGAAATGCGCTGTAGCACACCTTTACCTGGGAGTAAGTCCCACTGAACCATGGGAGATTTGCCTGGTAAGTATGCATAGGACTAGGTTACATATCCCATTAACATAGCAGGGAAATTGAGCTCACGCTTAACCCTTTCTCACATTGGAATTTAGATGCTTGTATTTTAGAAGTGTCGTATTCATATTTTCTATATTATGCCAATCAATGGGAGATAATCATGAAAAAAACCAATTGATGTAATCTTTGTAGCCCATACAGCTGTAAAGAAGCCCCATGCATTTTGATTTATATCCCTGATGGGCATACAAAAGAAATGCCAACATCTGGATCTAAGGAGAAAACCAAGGCAGAAACAGCAAAGAAAGAGGTAAGGAAACCTAATGTATTTTGATTGTTTGTCAGAAGGATGTTTGGGATGCCTGGCATAACTGTAGAACAGGTGTAGAATGGAGGAAACCTGGCTTGACAGCAGCACATATGAAAAGAAATCCAGGATTATAGCCTTGTCATGTAAGTCATCATCATCAGAAACTGAACATGAGTCAGCAATCTTACCTGACTGCAAAAAGACTGATTCAGTTTTATACTGCTTTAATAGAACCATGGTTTCCAAGTCATGAGAAGTAACACTTCCACTTTATTCTGTGCTGGTCTCACCTCATCTGGAGTACTGTGTCCAGTGCTGACCCCTGCCTTTGAAGAAGGATACTGTATAGACAAATTGGGATGGGTTCAGATGAGGGCAGTGAAGATGGTCAGGTGTTTGGCAAACTACACTGCTATAAAAATGTTCCAGGCTTTAAACAGCACAGAACTAGTAATCAGACTTGGGAAACACCTATGCTAACCAAAGTTGATTCACTAAAATACACTATTTTAGTTTATTTTCAGTTTTTCTCCTCCTTTGCAAACATTGGGTGCTATCCTGTTCTGGGTGGAGGATAAAAGAGACATTTGTAGTAGGTCTTTGCATATTGAAGTGCCCTGACCAACTTTGCTTCACCAGTACTGTTTTAATTCTCTTTCATCCAGTTTGATTCATTGTAAAAACGTGCATTTGTTCTTCTTTTCCAAGGCTAGTACTGCACCGAAAGGACGATCTGCTCCACTTGTGGCTGACGCTTCTGCTGCAGCCCCTACTTCAGTCGAAGACCACTTGGCTCTTTACAGCAAGGTGTCTGCCCAAGGAGATGCAGTTTGTGAATTGAAATCAAAGAAAGCAGCAAAGGAAGAAGTTGATGCTGCCGTGAAACAGCTGCTAGCCTTGAAAGCAGAATACAAGGAGAAGACCGGTCAAGACTACAAGCCTGGGAATCCTCCAGTCGCTGCAGTTCAGGCCCAGCCTTCCAAGTGTGAGGCTGCCAGTGCCACCCATCTAGACAGCAAGTCTCTTTACGATAAAGTAGATGAGCAAGGGGAAGTGGTTCGAAAGCTAAAAGCAGAAAAGGTGCCCAAGGTTAGTGTTTGAAGAATAAGCCTGGATAAGAAGGAATTGAGAAGTGATCACTGCAACCTTTTATCAGGTGGATGATAGATCTGGCTTTTCTGTTATTTATAAAAGTAGATAGACAAAGAAGAACTCCTTGGGCAGGACTACCACTAACCTTAAAAGAACAGAAGAAGTTGGGGATGATAAACATAGGCCTGGCAGGAGAGAAAAGGGATTTTTTTAAATAAAAAAACCATTATGGTAGAAGTGTCAAAAGATAAAATATTAATTAAAAGTGGTGGTGATTAATTCTGCTCCCCCCAATTAACGTCCCCAAAATAATGGCCCTCTGTTATCTTTGCTGAACTATGTGAAAGTGGGTATTGCACCAATTTTCTGGATGGGGTGGTGATCAGTGTAGCACTATGACAAACATTCTGTCTGCACAAGCATTGAAGCTTGCCAGACAAGAACGATCCCCCCTCCCCTCCTCTGGTGTGTTGCACCTTGCGCTTCTATGTAGATCCTGGGCCGCCCAAACAAGAAGACTTCCCTCTCTGTCGCACTATTGTGATCCAAAGGAAAGCAGAGCAATACATTTGGCGCCAGATTGGTCGCAGGAGTTGCTGAAAGGAGGCATGCAAGGCACCATCCATCTATCTTAGGGACTCCATTCTGGATTTGTATAGGGTTTAGTCCATAGCTGTCAACTTTTCCCTTTTCTTGCAAGGAATCCTATTCGGAATAAGGGAATTTCCCTTAAAAAAAGGGAAACATTGACAGCTATGGTTTAGTCCTTAGCCTTTTCTTCTCCCAGAGATATCCTGCAAGGCAGCAGAGGTTTAGGGACAGAGTTTCCCTTCTCCTAGCTGGGCTACCTTCCCAGGTTGACGAACCCCATCTTATTACATACCTGAATCCATCCCATAGAATACAAATAAAACTTCGGTTAAGGAGCACTCTATGCAAAGCAAAACCTTAGTTGTTGGTTACATTCAAATAGCTTCATTAAGTGAAGAGCATGTGATGATAGGTTCTAATAAGCCTCTTACTAGTTTTTTCTTTTTGTCAACTTGATCATGTGCATCCTAACTATTGTATCTACTTTGCTACATGCTTTTCTGTCTTTTCCTCTCTTTTTAACTGTTCTTTCGCTTCCTGTTGTAGGATCAGATAGATGCTGCTGTGAAAGTGCTTTTAGCTCTGAAAGCGGAATACAAGCAAAAGACAGGCCAGGAATACAAACCTGGAAACCCGGCAAAGAGTTTGCTTCCTAGTTCAGCTCCTTCTGCTCTTCCTCCTTCCATGCCCCTCTGTCCAGTAGTCTGCAAAGCTCTTTACAGCAAAGTGGCAGAACAAGGCGAAGTGGTTCGTAGACTTAAGTCAGAGAAAGCAGCAAAGGTATAATGGCCATGAAGGCAGAAAGAGTGCTGAACATTATGTTTTTAAGATGCACTATTAGGTCCTTGAGCAATTCACAAAATTAAAAAAATTGTATTCTATTTTTTCAGTATTTTTATTTTTACTTTTGCAAAGTATTAAGCAATATTTGGTTTCTCTCCATTTTCTCTTATTGCATGCAAGACAGATTATTATTTTGTCCAAGCAGAACAAAACTTTGATATCAATGCTAACAGTTAAATTTATTTGTAGATTGATCATTTTATCATTTGCACTTGCCCACTTAATCTTCAGTTTCAAACTGGAAATTTTTGCATTAAACTTTTCCATTCTTACTGATACGTTTCTTGTATTATCTCTCTGCTTCAGGATCAGATAGATGCTGCTGTGAAAGTGCTTCTTGCTCTAAAAGCAGAATATAAGCAAAAGACAGGCCAAGATTATAAACCTGGACATCCACCTGCAGTTCCTCTTTCCTCCTCCTGCTCCTCCTCTTCTTCCTCCTCCTCCTTGTCCTCTTGTGCTTCTGGTCCTGCTCCTCTGTCCTGCAATGGTTTGACATCTTCTAGCCCAGTAGACAGAAACGTTCTGTACAATAAAGTAGTTGAACAAGGCGAGTTGGTACGGAGACTCAAAGCCGAGAAGGTGTCCAAGGTAGAATAGTGGTTTTATTATGCATGTGGTTTCAAAACTGTGTTTTTTCTCTGTTCATTAGCTGTGCATAATACTGATTTTGGCAGAAGTTTTTCCAAGGGACTTCATTTGGGACCAGGAAGTCAAGGTTATATATTGTGCATGCAACACACTTCTGCTTGTGCAACAGTGCAGCCCCTGCACACCCTCAAAATCAGTTCCAGACGGTTGGAAGATCCTCTGCAGCAGATTTTTGGGGCAAATGGGAGTAGGAGAGGAAGGTGAAAACTTTGTTGGGCAGAATTGGATGCAACCCTCAGTAACTGCTAATACTTTTTCTCCATATATCTGGATCCCATTGGGGGGGGGGGGAAACAAGGCCATCTTGAGGGAGCCATGGAGCAGAAAGGAATCTGCCAATATAAAATCTATTGCAAATCTATAATGTAGTGTTGTTAACATACCCTTGGATATTCAGGCAGGAAACTACAGGTATATACATACATAACTCTTGGAATTGTGACATGAATGCTCTCCCAATAATACTTCCCATAGGATAAAGTGGATGAAGCTGTAAAACTCCTCCTTTCCCTAAAAGCGGAATATAAAGAAAAGACTGGTCAGGATTATAAGCCAGGACAGTTACCAGCACCTCAGGCACATGCCTTAAACCAGCCGGCAAGCACAGAAACCAGTGGCCCTGACTCTGCAGAAGCAAAAGCTCTCTTTAACAAGGTTGCTCTCCAAGGAGAAGAGGTCCGGAAATTGAAAGCGGAGAAGGCAGAAAAGGTAATACTGCTTATTAACAGTTTAACGTTGTGGCAATCACACAGGGTCTCTGGACATTTAACGGTCTATTGATCCCTGTGCCACCACTGTGCTCGCTTCCCCGCTGTCACCAACCTGTTACTCTTGGGTAAAACACTGAGTCCAGACAGTTGTTAAAATTGAACCAAATAAACAAGTTTGTTTTATAAGCATTAACAAGTTTATGGTTTCTCAGATAATATTCCTGTCAGTTTCTTAACTTTAGTTTCTTTACCGGCCTATACCTTCCTAATACCTGACCAAACCTGACTAAACTGTGGGAGGCAGTGGAAGACAGGAGTGCCTGGCGTCAGTGGCGTAGCGTGGGGGGTGCAGGGGGGGGCCGGGCGCAACATCTGGGGTTAGGGCAAATCCACGGGTTAGGGGGCGCAAATCCACGGGTTAGGGGGCGCAAATTACTTGCCTTGCCCCGGGTGCTGACAACCCACGCTACGCCACTGCCTGGCGTCCATGAGGTCACGAAGAGTCGGACACAACTAAACGACTAAACAACTAAACGACTAAACAACAACAACCTTCCTAATACCTTCTGACTGATTATCTCAACTGTTTGATTGGCTCCTCTTAACAAATTCTCTCACTCTCTCACATCAGAGTAGCCCAACCCACAGACTTATCCTCTCTGTCTCTTCTCTAACTCCAGACTGTCTTCTCAACCACCCTAACTCTAACTCTTCCCCTTGGGTTCCCATTGGTTAGTCATTTTACAATTAGTTAACCCTTTCCTTATGAACCCAGTATGATGTCACACACCTGGGATACTCATCACATTTCCTTTAACTTAAAATTTATGCTAATATCCTGAACTGCAATTGCAAGATGGTCTCTTTTCAGTGTCAAGTATTCTGCAGGTATGCATCTGGAGAAATTGCTGGAATTTCGCAGCATTTGTAAAAAGTAAAAGCATATTTCCTCTCTTAATTCAGCCTGTTCTCCTTTCACTCTGAAGGGTATCATGAGCATTTATCGCCACGTTGTGGCCAAAGGCAGAAAAAGGAGTTTGAGGGAAGTAGCCGCTCCAGTTTTCTTTTCCTGCCTTTCATTGAAGTTCTCACCTTTACTTCAGCTCCTGACTCAACATTTGTCCTCTTATTTTTCTAGTGTCAGCCCCCTGGTGATCTTTCGATGCAATCCATAAATATCCTAGACACACACACACACACATATGATTGTTGTAAGATGAGGGTGTGTATGTTGACGTAATTGTTCTGTTTTGCACAATGCTGGAGACCTTATGCCTCTTAATATCAGTTGCTGGATTCCTAATTGAGGAAGCAGCCTGCTTGTGGGCTTCACAGGCGTGTCTGATTAGCCACTGTGAGAACAGAATGCTAGACTACATAGGCCTTTCTTAGGTTTTAGTTTCAGTGATCCTGTTTCCTGATGATGTTGTGCACCGAGTGTGAAACTTTCTGTGAATTATATTCCATACTACCGAGTTACATGTCCTAACAAGGAATAGTACAGATATTTTGGCTACAGAATGTGAGGATTCCACTTTCGGGACTCTTCAGGGGTTGCTTTTATGTTGATTATAGCCTCTCGCCAGATGTCTCAAAGCATTTGGGTAGTTTTAGTTCTAACACCAAACAATGGTGCTTCTACCTCTCATGAAATTGCCTTGATTAGTAATTGACTGTGGTTTTTCCCCAAACTGCACTTTGCTGTGACGCCGAAAGAAGAAAAGCATAGTTGGTTCAAGCTTTGCAAACCAGGATTGAAAACTTGCTTTCCAATCTTACTTTGCTGGCTTGCAGCTAATCACGGCTTGCAGAAGTTTCATTGGATTTCTCCCTTTCAGTGTGCATTCTGTGGTTTCCCCCGTACGTATAATTAATGTACCTTGCCTATTCTATGCAGCTAACTATTATTTCATTTCTTTTTGGTTATCTGTGTTTCCATGGGAATGGTGGCCTCCCCAAGGATAAGATTGATGCTGCAGTGCAAGAGCTGCTTCAATTGAAGGCGCAGTACAAGACACTGGCGGGAATAGACTATAAACCAGTCTCTGCAACTGGAGCAGAAGACAAAGACAAGAGGAAGAAAGAGAAAGAGAACAAATCCGAGAAGCAAAATAAGCAACAGAAGCAGAATGAAGGCCAAAAGAAAGAATCACAGAAAGACCAAAGTGGTGGCAGCAACTTATCCTCAAATGGACCAGGAGATGGTCAGGGACCTAAGAAACAAACCAGGTGAAATTTCTACTTAAAATATAGTCTGGGCAGCAGGGTAAAGGAAAGAATGCAGTGTTAAAATTGGTATTGTGCTATAAGGAGATAACGAAGGCAAAAAACAACAACCCCACAACCCTTTATAGTACTGCTGGGTTGTTTTTACGTTAAAATGTTATAGACCGTTTTCTGTTCTTTTGTTGGGCTTGGGTCCCTTCTAACTATTGCAACATCACTACCAACTTGTTTGCTAGGTTTTGGGTAGAATACACAAAATAGACAGTCCTTGTCCAGACCGCCTACAACAAAAGCCAAGGAAGAGGAGCTAATATGGACGTAATAAAGTTTTGTAGCAGAAGTATCTTTGGGGTTGTGGTAGTCCAATGGGAGAGAGTCTTTGAGTAAAATTGTGGCTTATAGGAATCGTATATAGGAAGCTGGCCTGGCAAAACCACGGAGATGTTTCAGGTGAAAGAAATAGCAAATGTGAAAGGGGAAAGGGATTTTTCTTTTCATAAGTATGTATTTTTCCTGACACCATGAGAGCAAAAAGAGAACTACTCAGTTGCGGAGCATAAGGTAGGGCACCACTCCTGCCCTGTCCTCCTGGCTGCTTGCTGGGATCAAGTGAGGGCAGCGTAGCACTAGATTGGCACCATCAGCTCAGTGCTCCCTGTGCCCCATCCAGGTCCCACTGAGCAGCACCGTCACAACTCAGAGGGTGGCACAGGTGGTGCTCCAGTCCTCCTCGCCATGACTGGAGCCACCAGAACACTCACTGGGGTTTCCCCCCTTCACATTTAATATGCTCTTTCCCCCACTAATTGTATTGTTATTTGAGGGAGCATGTCAGCTTGAAGACTCTTGCCGTTATATAATAAATTTGCCTGTTTAAATTCATTGAAATGTTTAAAACATTTAAATTCATGTCTGGATAGTTTTAACAGTTTTTTGAAATACAGCAAAATATTTAAAGTGGGCTATTGCTTTATTATGGCAGTTGCTTTGAGGCTAAGATTATGCTTCTATCTTTCTAATATATCTACAGGTTGGGCTAGAGGCTAAGAAGGAAGAGAATCTATCTGACTGGTATTCTCAGGCAAGTATATTTCAAAGTTCTACCTGGGAGTCCTCTTTCACAGTCTTCAAAATAATGTACGCTTAAGAACAGTTTTTTGGAGCTAAACCGCAATCAAGGGCGAACCTTGGTTGCAGCTCCTGGTTTGTCTAAAGCGGTTGCTTGGCATCAGATTTAATGCTAAACCAAACCATGGCTCAGCCCCAGCCTGTGCAGCAGCCACAGGAAAAAGGGTACAGTGGTTGAGATCCATATGTTTGCTTACTTGCCCTAAGCAATGTCTTGCCTTAGTGTTACATCCAAACCGGTCTCTGCATAGGTGCATTTGGATATTTATGGTTCTAAACAAAGGATAAACACCTTTCGTACATGAATGTTCCGTGCTCATTTCCACTGAATGTCATGTGTTCAATTTTATTTCTGTTTGATACTTTTTAAACTTGCTGCCCACAATGCAATTTTCGTGACACTGAAACATTGCTATTTCCTTTAAAAGGTGATCACAAAATCAGAGATGATTGAATACTACGATGTGAGTGGCTGTTACATTCTCCGTCCCTGGGCTTTTTCCATCTGGGAAAGCATCAAAGAGTTTTTGATGGTGAAATCAAGAAACTTGGTGTGGAAAACTGCTACTTTCCAATGTTCGTATCCCAGGCTGCGTTGGAAAAGGAGAAGACACACATTGCTGACTTTGCCCCGGAGGTAATCTTAGATCACATTATTAATAATAATGTATGGAATTTAAGTTTACAATTATGAGCTTCAATTGATAAACAGAATTCACATGTGTCACAAAAACTTTTTTTAAACAAAGTTGTACCCACCGTATTATTAAGAATGACATGAAATATATTTATAAAAAGTAGTATTTTCTAAACTTTTACATTCATTGATTTCAGGTTGCCTGGGTTACACGATCTGGCAAAACAGAGCTGGCTGAACCAATAGCTGTACGTCCTACTAGTGAAACAGGTACAGTCTTACAGATTTAAAATAAAATACTACAGCTAAATAGTCCCTCTTTCCTATCAATTAGTGATGTTGGCTTTTGTAATACCTGAGGTTCATCTACTCATGAATGAAAGCAGGTAGAGTGGGGGATAAATCAAGTATTTTGTTATCAAGAAGTGTGGTGTAGTGGTTAGACTGAGCAACCTTGGGCCAAGTCACTCTTAGCCTAACCTACCTCACAGGGTTGTAGTGAGGATTTCTGTGCACATCCCCTTGAGCTCCTTCAAGGAAAGTTGGGATATAATGCAATGAATAAAATGCAATTTATAAAATAAGGGAGAAACAAGATGAACAACATGTTCTCATGTATTTTAAATTTTAAATATAAAGGATTAGCCTAACACTTAGGGTAATATCCAGCAACATGCCAGCAGATAGGATGGGATTTCCCTTTCCTCTCCTTTCTCCCCAATCTGCAAACTGTGGGGCTCTAGGGGGAGGGTAGGAAGGACAAGTCACAATGCACCAGTGGAAGCGCAAATAGGCTGACATCACTGGATGTCACCCTTACTCCACACAGGTATTTTTATGCATGGGAATAAAAACTCTTACAAATCAGGTTTCCAAAACCAATAGTTAACATAGTAGCTACGTGCTTTCTGAAAATATTCTCCTTTTTTTGCAGTAATGTATCCTGCCTATGCAAAGTGGGTTCAGTCACACAGGGATCTCCCCATCAAACTTAATCAGTGGTGCAATGTTGTGGTAAGTGCAAGGTATACTGGATATTTGCTGTGCTTTACCCAATATGCTCATTCTTAATCAATCCATCAATCAATCAATCAATCAATCAATCAGCAATCTCCACTACCCGCTTTTTAAATTAAGTTGTGGGTGGTTAGAATGTATACTCTTTCTCCCCACAAAGACTATACGTTCTAACAACCCACAACTTAATTTTAAAAGTGGGTATTTGCCATATTTTTTCACCTGGCACTTCTTGTGTTGAGGGATTTGATTCATATCTTATGCTCTGAATATTTCTTCATTGCTGCTTTCCACATCCTAACAAACACCATGTTGAATGAAAAAAATGTGGTATGTAGTGCACACAGTTGGGGAATCTCTACAGGCCTGATCTGTGACATCTGTTGCGATATACAGTGGTACCTTGGGTTACAGATGCTTCAGGTTACAGATGCTTCAGGTTACAGACTCAGCTAACCCAGAAATAGTACCTCGGGTTAAGAACTTTGCTTCAGGATGAGAACAGAAATCGTGCTCTGGCGGCGCAGCGGCAGCAGAGGCCCCATTAGCTAAAGTGGTACCTCAGGTTAAGAAACAGTTTCAGGTTAAAGAACGGACCTCCAGAACGAATTAAGTTCTTAACCCGAGGTACCACTGTATCTGGATTTGTGATCATGCAAATTATCCTTGCCTACTGGTATTTACAATCTTCATAGAAATAATAGAAATCGGCATATGAGAATATAGCATTTTTATAATCCCAGAACTTAGGACTCAAGTGCGGCGCTCACAAAAATTAAAATAAACACAGATAAAACACACACAGCTTAAAACATATTGAATAGGGTTGCTGTTAAAAACGTAATTAAACTGGAAAAAAGAAACTGTGACAAACAAAAAAGGAATGTGTAGCAGATAAACTGTTAGATATAATTGAACTGGCTAGATTAACAGAGGCAATTAAGATCACACTAGACAAGAGTTTCAAAAAGCATGGGGAAATGCAGAGAAACTTCACAAACATGGCCTAAAATGCCATACCTGACTTGTTTATTAATGCTGCAGAAGACTTTGATGGGATATTTAAGTTATAATTTAGAAAATCTTAATAATATTCATAAAGGACACAGTTTTATAAAGTAATGAGGAGCCCAGATAAGGATAAAGAAGGTCTTTTATTGGTTGTTTGTATTGTGTGTATGTTATGCCTCACTGTATGTTATGTTCGTGTTAATTGTGTATTTGCGGAGTGGGGGGGGTTTGTTATGTGTTAAATAAAATTCCAAATAATAATTTAAAATTAAAAAAAGTCATTCTACTACCTATGGTAATTAAAAACACATCTATTAAAATGCAGATGGGGAAACATACATGCAATACCATTAGATACCTTTCCTTAAAAGCAGTTAGTCCCAAAGAAGTTTCTTAGATGCTGCTAGAGGACAAGGATGAGAGCAGTTGATTGAAAGATCAGCCTCTAGAAAGAGAGTCCAAAGCTAGGGAGCAGCCACTCAGAAGCGTTGTCTCCAAAATGCCACCAAAATGTCCCTGTGAGGGAGCTGCGACTCAAGAAGTGCCTCCCCTTGAAGCCATTTCAGAACCCAGGCAGGCCATGCAATTATGGCTCATCCATTCAGAAACTAAGCCAGTAATGTGTGTTGGAGCAAAAAAGGGTATGTAGACTGAGTAGGTGTTAAATTACCTAAGTTGAAGTGTCTGCACGATCTGTGGGGGAGCTGTTTCATAATGCAGTAAGAATGCCCTCTTTCTGGTTGCCACCCAGTGGACAGATAGACAGGCTGCTGCAACATTTCCCCTCCTCTCTATATTCCCCTCCACATCTGAAAGATACAGCCAGAGGACATCAGCAGCTGCACATTGAGGGCAATTTAAGAATTTTGCCACTCTCAAACTCAGTGAACTTGGTGCCAGACTAAGTTTAGTTGTTGTTTAGGTCTGACTGGCAAATCTAGGGGGGCAAGTTAGTATGACTACAGCTTAAGTTTCCATTAAAACGAATTTAAATGGAATTCTAAGTGTAACTATCTTTAGTCTGGAATTTCAAACCCCACCGCCACCACTCTTGAATATAGGAGGGGGGAAGAGAGGTAATTGGCACTAGCCAAAAGGTTTGTATCAATGTGATTTTGCGTCCCTGACCAGAAGCGACCCTGCCGGAGGTAGTTACTAGACCCATATGTTTATCTCCATGAATCATGGTCATCAATCGCCTTAATTGGTCCGCGGTGTGATACCCCCAAGAGTCTGATAAGCAACACTGGCTTCTCTCCTGGTATCCTGGGATCTTCAAAGACAATCTCAAACTCTTTGAAAAAATTCTGTCCCAAGTTGATTGAGAAGTTGCTTCCCCTAAAAAAGGCAAACAAGAAACAAATTCAGGTTAAACGTTCTTCCTACATATTAATGAAGTATATAAAATGTTTTATCAGCAAACAATACCGTATTTTTCGCACATTGGACGCACCGGACCATAGGACGCCCAGGCTATTTTTCAGGGGGGGAAATCAAGGAAAAAATATGATTCCCCCCCCAGCTCTGGGAAGCATGACAGGCTCACGCCAGCCGTGCGCTACCCAATACCTATCTCCCTGCTTTTGCGGTGGAGGTGGCGGGAATTCCCCCATCTCCCGCCAAACAAAAAGTCCGCAGGAGGGAGAGGGACTGGACTCGGCCAGTCAGTTTCCTTCTCCCTTCCTTGGGGGAAAAGCCCCCAAGGCTGGCGCGCTCTGTGTAAAGGCTGCCGCGCTCTTTGCAGGCTTTTCTGCGACGGTGGGGCGAATCCCCCCACCTCCTTAGAGAAGCCAGCAAAGCCTTGCAGCCCCTTTAAAGAGCGCATGGCTTTTGCCTGCTTTTGGCGGAACCTGGGTGGTGGGAGGCGTGACAACACAGAAATGTAACTCCCAATTTTCTCCCGCCAACAAGAACGAGGGAGGCGGAGAAGGACTGACTCGGAGCAGCAGTCCCTGCTCCCCTCCTTGGGGGAAAAGTTCCCCCAAAGAGCTGCGCGCTCTGTAAAGGCTGCCGGGCGCTTTTGCAAGCTTTTTCTGCTGCGAGGTGGGGGGAATCCCCCCACCTCCTATAGAAAAGCCAGCAAAGCGTGCGGCCCCTTTAAAGAGCGCACGGACTTTTGCCTGCTTTTTGCCGGGTGGGGATAACAATGCTCCCCCATCTCCCGCCCAAAAGGCCCCGCAGGAAGGGAAAAGAAGCGACGACTCGCCAGTCAGTCCCTTCTCCCTCTTGGGGGAAAAGCCCCAGAGCTGCGCGCTCTGTAAAGGCTGCAGAGGCTCTTGCAGGCCTTTTCGCGAGGTGGGGAATCCCCCCACCTCCTAGAAAAGCAAGCAAAGCCGTGCAGCCCCTTTAAAGAGCGCACGGCTTTTTGCGGCTCTTTTGCGGGAGTGGGGGATTCCCTCCATCTCCCAGCAACAAAAAGTGATCCGCCAGGAGCCAGGGGATGAAAGGGACTGGAACTCGGCCACGTCAAGTCCCTTCTCCCTCTCGTCTGGGGAAAAGCCCCAAGAGCTGCGCGCTCTGTAAAGCTGCGCGGCTCTTGCAGGCTTTTCTGCACGAGGTGGGGGAATCCCTCCCACTCCTCCTAGAGAAGCCAGCAAAGCCGTGCAGCCCTTTAAAAGAGCGCATGCGCTTTGTGCCTGCTTTTTGCGGGAGGTGGGGGGAATTCCCCCATCTCCCGCTCAAGCCCGGCAGGAGGTGAGAAGGGACTGACTCGGCCAGTCAGTCCCTTCTCCCTCCTTGGGAAAGCCCCAAGAGCTGCCGCTCTGTAAAGGCTGCGAGGGCTCTTGCAGGCTTTTCTCTGAGGTGTGGGGAATCCCTCCCACCTCCTAAGAAAAGCCAGCTAAAGACCGTTGCACAGCCCCGTTTAAAGACACGCGCACCTGGCTTGTGTGCTTTTGCGGAGGTGGTTGATCTAGTGGGAAAAATCACATGTATAGATAAAATCTAAATCATTCAAAATAATAAAGATAAACATCATACATAGAAAAAATATTAGCAAGAATAACAACAGTGGAACTACGTAAAAATTAAGAACTCAAGCATACAAAAGCAAATCACAAAAATACGCTACTAAATAGTGATAATAAAAAACTAGTAAAAATGATAAAAGTATTCTATATGGATGCTTAGGAAGAGCGTTAGAATAATTGAAATTAATTATATAAAAAATTTCTCCCATTCTTTCTCCCGGCAAAAAGCCCGCATCAGAGGGAAGAAGGGACTGAACTCGGGCCAGTTCAGTCCTTCTCCCTCCTTGGGGAAAAAGCCCCAAGAGCTGCGCGCTCTGTAAAGACTGCGAGGGCTCATTGCAGCCTTTTCTGCCGAGGCTGGGAATCCCCCCACCTCCGTAGAAAAGCCAGCAAAGCCGGGCAGCCCCTTTAAAGAGCGCAGGGCTTTTTGCCTGCTTTTGCGGAGGTGGAAGCCGGGGAATTCCCCCATGTCTCCCGCAACAAGCCCGCTAGGAGGAGAAGGATGACTCGGCCAGTCAGTCCCTTCTCCCTCCTTGGGAAAAGCCCCCAAGTAGCTGTCGCCGCGCTCGTGTTTAAAGGGCTGCGAGGCTCTTGCAGGTCTTTCATGCAGGTGGAATCCCCCGCACCTCCTAGAAATAAAGCCACAGCAAAGCGTGCAGCCCCTTTAAAGAGCGCACAGCTTTTGCCTGCTTTGCGGGAGTGGGTAAAATGAAAATCATATTCCCCATTTCTTCCCGCCCCAACAAAAGCCACCACATGCGTCGAGGGTTGGGAGAGCAGCGGGAAGGCGTCGCGCGCCTTCCACTGCTGCCCCCCCATCCTCTGGTGGCTGGCGATGGGGGAAGCGCTGCTTTTCCCCCCGCCAGCCTCAAAGAGCAGATCTCCTGGCTTGCAGCGTGGCGGCGAAGAAATGATCCAAAAGCAACGGGGTGGAATGGCCTCCGGAGCGCAGGCGTCTCGGGATGCTTTGCTGCTATTCGGCTGAAGCCAGGGAGCCGCATTTTCGCTGCCATGAGCACACACATTTCCCCTTTAGTTTTTAAGACGGAAAAACTGCGTCCGTATGTGCGAAAAAACGGGTACCTGGATGCCTCGCCCA